TATTAACAAACAAAAGTTAGAAATTATTTAGAAAAAAGTGGGATTTGAATTTTCGTATTTTACGGTGACTTAGATCTTTCAAACACACACACACACACACACACAGTCTGAACTGCATCTTTTCTTCTGTGTTCCAGCCATATATATATATATATATATATATATATATATATATATATATATATATATATATATATATATATCTACTTGGTATATATATATATATATATATATATATACATTTAGGATATACAGTGTTGTTGGTTTTTTAGTGCTTTTTATATATATATATATATATATATATATATATATATAAATATATATAAATATATATATATATATATATATATATATTAGTTTAAGAGTTGTTGTAATTTTAGTCATATATATATATATATATATATATATATATATATATATATATATATATATATATGGCTGGAACACAGAAGAAAAGATGCAGTTCAGGCTTTTTCATCACAATATATTTTTGTTATATTTAATTTTTCTCATGTATAATTTGTTTTATAAAAATGTTTAGTAAGAGACCTAAATCTCTTTCAATTGTATAAATAAACGTATCCACATTACAGCTTTGATATCACAATTTGACGAGTATTTACACGCTGCAAACTATCCTTAGAAGTAAAAACTTTGATAATATACATTTTGGAAAAGAATTATTTTAAGATTCTGAATCATTGAATCATCATAGGAAAATTGTAAATGATATACTAGTACCTTTAATTGACGGAGGAACTTCATCGCCATTCGAGTAAACCGAAATAAGGACAACACACAAGCTTATCTGGGTTACAAACCTCATACTGTACTATACGCTGTACAACCATGAACGTACTTTTATATAGTGAGTTACCAATGCAATCTCATCATTATTGCGAAAGATGAAACCCTTTTCATGCAAGAGAAATTCATTCTAAAGTATAAGCATACATTTAAAAGTTACATATTTTAGTATACATATTTTGATAAATGAATTTTAAAGTCTCATGAATTTTTTTTATTTTTGCCTTAAATATAACATTTGCTTAACTAACACAGCCCTTAAACATGCCGTTTACAGATTCTTTATTTATTTATTTCACAAAATAAATTAGAGTTATGAGAGAGAGAGAGAGAGAGAGAGAGAGAGAGAGAGAGAGAGAGAGAGAGAGAGAGAGGGGCGAAGTATTAGACAGTATATTTATAAGTTTATTTCATATATAAAATTGAAGCACGTATCTTATTATATGGAGAGGTGGGCGTAGCATAACAAATTGTATTGATCGATAAAGCGTTACAGCATGACCTCCGCTAGGGAAAAATATCAATATTTCAGAGTAAATAAACTAGTCTACACAGCAAAATATTTGATATTTAGCTAGACAGTGCCAAAAACGTTTAGATTTATTCATTTGTTATTTAAATTCCATCTTATTTTCATCAATTTTATATTCTATTAGCATTGACATTACATATAAACATAGTCAACGTCATCAGACAGAATTGCAATTATAATATCTGGATATTAACTCAGACTCACTGTAAACTGAAAGAAGACGGGCGACCAAGTTTGATTCAATATGTGAACCACGTATTTAAAGAAAAGTTCATATTAGAGAACGTACAAAATTATGGCAAACAAAACTTAGTATAATTTCTTTTTATAAAATGTCATTTAACTGCTACACCACAACTTTCCTCAGTTAGCATTTTTAAATAAACTTTTGAATGTGTTATGACCCTCAGACTACTCAGAACTTCATTTATTCCTCGGAAAGATAAAGTGATCCATAAAATAATATTTTAAGGTTTTGTTACAAATTGCACCATGTTTTTGTGGATACATTAAAATAAACATTTCCAAAAATGGAACAAGGATCCACTGCTATTGTTATGTAAGTTATAGTAAGTAGAAAAATTTAGATAATTCTGAGGTTATACTTCCAAGTTTCATTCAAAGTTTATATCATAGAATTTATTTAGTTTTCTAAAGTCATTTTTGGCCTTTCAATCTTATATTTTTTGATTGATTTCATTTTTAGATTAAAAATTCATTTTGTGTTATAATTTACCAGGATTCCTTTATGAATTTAATTTCATCTTTTTGAAAAGAATCTTTTTGTTACGATAAATTGCGATAAATGGACTGCCAAGTCAGACCTAGATATGCTAGAAATCCGGTCGAAGCTTTTGTTAATATTACATCTGCTTTTTTTTGCTAATTTTTCACCTAATTGTTTGCTCAGTTTACACCTGTTTTTCTGTTCACTGTTTTGTCAGTATTTTCGTTGTTATTTCATTTCAATGAAAACTACTTAAGGTTTACATTTGCACAGATAATTGAAGAAAAGAAAGAAGATGAATTCACTGGTATTACAAAAACAAATGAAACCTTTTTTATCATGGGAATTTTTAATTTAAGATTGATTGTACGTTGTATGTTTATTTGTATGTTAATTTTCCCCTATGCTCGGCACTGAGGGCCATTGAGCAATGAGGAATCTTTTTCGTACCAGAACCTGCTGTAATACGGAGAATTTGATGAATACGTTGATCAGCTGATGAGGTGTTGATCAGGCTGGAGAAAATCTCGAAATGTTTTAGTTGAAGAAGAGACAACAAAGACTGCAAAAAATGCATGGAGGAAAATTACGGGAGCAGGAGGAATTCCAGCGTATACAGAGGGTAAGTGTAAAAAGAATATACATAATTATGAATATAGAGACAGTGTAAATAGACGGTAGCTGTAGGAAGAATATAGTACGTTAATATAAATATGAGACAGGAACGTGAATTACGTGAACAGGAGGATAACCAGCCTAAACATAGGGTAGGTAGGTGTAAATAGATCGATCTAGATAAAATATAACTGATATAGAGGCAGGAACGGAAATTACGTGAACAGGAGAAATACCAGCGTAAACATAGGGTAGGTGTAAATAGAATATACATAATTATACAGAGAGACAGTGTAAACAGAGGGTAGGTGTAAATAGAATATACATAATTATACAGAGGGACAGTGTAAACAGAGGGTAGGTGTAAATAGTATATACATAATTATACAGAGAGACAGTGTAAACAGACGGTAGGTGATCTAAATAAAATATACGTAATTATATATAGAGATAGGGACGGAAATTACGTTAACGGGAAGATCAAATTCCATCGTAAACAGAGGGTATGTGTAAATAGAATATACGTTATTATAAATATAGGGACATGGTAAACAGTGGGTAGCTGTAGATAGAATATAGTACGTAAATATATATATATGAGACAGGAACGTGAATTACGTGAACAGGAGGATTACCAGCTTAAACATAGGGTAGGTAGGTGTAAATAGAATTTAGATCGATCTAGATAAAATATAATTGATTATATCGTATAAAGGCAAGAACGGAAATTACGTGAACAGGAGAAAAACCTGCGAAAACAGAGGGTAGGTGAGGTGTAAATAGAATTTACGTAATTATGTATAGAGGCTGTAGTGGCGCCGGAATTTATTCCGGATTTGGTTCAATTATTACTTTATGTACTGTTTGTTCCGGCATAGGCCATGCTTGTTTTTCCTACAAAACTTTATCTATATTTTGGTGTTTGTGCCCCTAAAGAGTAAGTACACTGTGTATATTTGTCGTTTGTCTTGTAATTGATTATAATACATAATGCCTTTACACTGTTAGGGATGCTCATGTCTGTTTTCATGATCTGAAATGTGCGTTTGTTATTTTGTTCGAGTATGGCGTGCCTTAAATGTCATTATTTGATAATCCGATATTAAGCGATAGTATGAATATCTTGTATTGTTTTGTGAGACAAGAAACCATTCACCAGACGCGGAATATTGTCTGTGATTAATGGACTTTATGATCCCATAGGCTTTGCTGTCCCTGTCGTTTTGAAAGGCAAGCTTTTGATGAAAGAAATTCTGTCTAGTACAACTGACTTAGATTGGGATGACCCAATTCCTGAGATGTTTAAAAAAACCCATGGGATGACTGGGTACAATCCTTAATTGAACTAGATCAAGTGTGTGTTGGTAGGCAATACTCGGATCACTCATATACAGATTCCAGTGTTCGTCTCGTGCATGTATTATGCGATGCATCGAAAGATGCGATTGGTGCCATTGCATACCTACAGCTCTTCGGACCTGTCGGTTCAGAGCCCACACTCAGTTTTCTACTTGGAAAAGGAAAGCTTGCACCTAATGGCGGCAACACCATTCCTCGGATGGAACTGTGCGCCGCAGTTCTTGGCGTCGAAGTTGCAGACATAATCAAGGAACAACTTGGTATTCCGTCAGAGTGCTTTCGATACTACACAGAGAGCCAGATTGTCTTGGGTTATCTGACGAACACTACTCGCAGATTCTACGTTTATGTGTCGAACAGAGTGAAGCGTGTTCATTCGTCCTCATCTCCGACACAATGGACACATGTTCCCACAGAGCAGAATCCGGCTGATCTGGCTACGAGATCAGTATGTGCTACTCAACTTTCAAGCAGTATGTGGTTGACCGGACCCCCATCTAGGACACTGACGAAAACATTTGCAGAACCACCCTCATGTTTTCCATTAGTGGAACCTAACAATGACTGTGAAATTAAACCGGAAGTTACATGCAACAAAGTTCAGGTGGATGATGTGAAACTCGTTAACCCCAAGATTGGATCAGAAAGATTCTTAAGATTCTCAACATGGGAATCTCTTGTTCGAGGAGTCAAGATTTTGAAGCAATTCATATATAAATCAGTGAAACACAGTGACATTGACTCAAGTGATGCATATGAACGTTCAGAACTTTTTGTGATACAGACAATTCAGGAAGAAGCATATGGCGACGCAATAAGATGCATCAGAGATGGACATCCCTTGCCAAAAGGACACTCACTTATGCCATTGTCGCCATTTATTGACCAACATGGTATACTCCGCGTGGGAGGTAGACTTGACAAAATGGACAAGGAGATGGCCACCTTCACCCTGTGATCATGCCGAAGAACCATTATGTCACCAGGCTGCTTGTGCGCAAGTTCCACCACCAAGTGCTACATCAGGGACGACTGTTGACGGAAGGTGCTCTTCGTTCTGGTGGATTCTGGGTAGTCGGTGCCAAAAATCTCATTAGATCAGAGATCAAATCCTGCGTCACATGTCGCAAGTCGAGAGGAAGTTTCGGTTGGCAGAAGATGGCAGATCTACCTGAGGATAGGATACAGCCTGCTCCACCCTTTTCTTACGTAGGTGTGGATACCTTTGGACCCTGGACAACCACGCAACGACGTACCAGAGGGGGAACTGTGAATCAGAAGAGATGGGCCTTGATGTTTACATGCCTTGTTTCACGAGTAGTTCATTTGGAAGTCATTGAACAGTTATCCACAGCTTCATTTATCAACGCATTACGCAGGTTCATAGCCATAAGAGGCCCTGTTATACAGTTTCGATCTGATCGCGGGACAAACTTCATTGGGGCAGTACATGAACTAAATATTCCTTCGGAACTGGTGGAAAACCCAGCATCAAAAAGGTATCTCGAGGAGAACAAGATCAAGTGGGTGTTCAATCCTCCCCATGCCTCCCACTTTGGTGGGGCATAGGAAAGAATGATAGGTGCCTCAAGGAAGATACTGGACAGCTTACTCTTGAACCATATGGGACCTTTAACACATGAAGTTTTAACTACATTCTTGACGGAAGTTAGTGCTATCCTGAATGCTAGACCACTCGTCGCAGTATCAACTGACCCAGATACACCACAGGTACTTTCACCAGATATGTTGATTCATCAGAAAACTGTACATACCTCACAATTGGACATTCCAGTGTTTGGGACCAAGGATGCCCTCAAGAGTTCCTGGAAGCAGGTGCAGTACTTGGCAGATCAGTTCTGGCAGAGATGGTACACAGAATATATGCAGAGCTTACAGATTCGTCAGAAATGGTTGACAGAAGGTAGACAGTTTCAGAAAGGAGATGTGGTTCTCATGCGTGATGATTCGTTAGCCAGAAATCAGTGGCCCCTCGCTATAGTAACAGAGACCTTCGAGAGTGATGATGGACGCATACGCAAGGTGAAGATATTTTTTGGCGTAACAAAACATTTTATGTGAGACCTATTACTCAGCTATGTTGTCTCGTTGAAGTGGCTAAATAGTTAAGACCATTCCTAACTTTGGTTTAGTCATTGTGCATGTATATGGCACTTGATATGTAATGTTGTGATTTCAACAAGTTGTATTCATATATCAACTTTATTACATCATTTGTACATACAGGTGTTTAGTATTGTGAGGGTATGAGTCATTTTAATTGTAACATCTTTTCTAATTCTAAACTTGATTGGCTTCTTCGAAGCCAAAGGGGGAGTGTAGTGGCGCCGGAATTTATTCCGGATTTGGTTCAATTATTACTTTATGTACTGTTTGTTCCGGCATAGGCCATGCTTGTTTTTCCTGCAAAACTTTATCTATATTTTGGTGTTTGTGCCCCTAAAGAGTAAGTACACTGTGTATATTTGTCGTTTGTCTTGTAATTGATTATAATACATAATGCCTTTACACTGTTAGGGATGCTCATGTCTGTTTTCATGATCTGAAATGTGCGTTTGTTATTTTGTTCGAGTATGGCGTGCCTTAAATGTCATTATTTGATAATCCGATATTAAGGGTACTTACCACAAACAAAAAATGGATGCGCGGGTTGATATATATTTTTTGACTGATTTTGATTTGAAATGGCATAAATAATAAATCCCTGAATTATTAAGAAATCGTAGGTTTTCCTTGGTGCTTTAATATGATATTTTGTTTGCGTTCTATATAATTCCATACAAAATGTTTGCACAATTTTTAACCTTATGACAAAATCTTACACAATTCTCCCACTCTATTTGGTAAAAATTATTCAGGTGACCAATTCAAATGTAAATCTATGAGAAATAATGCTGATTTCTGAAAAAAGTTTGTTTGTGTTATTTATCCTTAAGCGATAGTATGAATATCTTGTATTGTTTTGTGAGATTATATTGTGTAATTAATGTTGTCCTCACATGTATTTTTCAGTTTCCACCCTCAGTGAGAGAGGTTTGTGGGTTAGACCAATAAACAATTTTCCGTAAATTTTTGTTGGGTCGTGAACACTTACAGAGGCAGGAACGAAAATTACGTGAACAGGAGAAATAACAGCGAAAACAGAGCGTAGGTGTAAATAGAATTTACGTTATTATATATATAGAGGCAGGAACATAGATTACGTTAACAGCTAGGAGAAACATCAGCGTAAACAGAGGGTAGGTGTAAATAGAATAGAATAGTTAATCATTATATAGAAGAAGGAATGGAAATAAAGTAAAGCTGAGGAATTCCAGCGTAATGGATAGGCTTACATCAATAGAGAATACAGGAACTATGATTATTTTGACATAATAAGTGACATGACGTGTTAAAAACTACATAGTTTGGAAGATGCAAACATTTGATTATGACTTTGATGAACAATTCATGAAAACTGCTCATTTTTAGCATTGTAGTTGGTTTGATGTTTACATGTACATTGGGTATTTTAGGATATTCCAGAGAAGCAGAGATACGCAGGGGGGATAAGGAAGCATACAAAATATTCTACCTTGGCTAAATCAGTGCTGCATTATGACGTCATAGTAGGCAAGATGACGTCAATTTTAGAAATCAGGTTTTCGTAATATTGGTATTTGGCGATGTAATTTATGCCCTAACTCTAGAAAATGATTAGAAACGTGTAAACATTAACAAAAATAAAATGTTTTTATTTTGTTATGCTGTAACAGTCATTATGATTGAAATCTACTACCGATGACGTCATATGTGTACATCAAGTAACTTGGAAATTGATCATGTCGTGTAAAGAGAATTTGGCTATGACGGCATGTTTAAAGATAAGTAAAATGGAGTTAAAAAGGATCTATCGGAAATATTGTGTTAAATTCATATGGAGTTCAATTAATTAAACAGGTATGCTAATTCATTTTCATCGATTATATTCTCTTTCGAAGACAGTCAGCTATATTACGTATCCCGATCGACCTATCGTCCGTCATTCTTGACCAAAATATGCAACAGAACAACAATAAGCTGGATATTTCAAAACATACGACTTGTACAGATTGAAAGTTAGAGTTTTGAAAAACTTGGAAAGTGCTGCTAGAATCCCGAGTTAAGCATGGTTGTACGAAAATTTCTCGATTCATATGTATAAAATTCAAAACAAAGGGTAAGGTATCGTGCGAATGTGTGGAATAAATATTTTACGGACAAGATAGTGGGATTCTAGCAGAACTTGTTAGACAGAATAGATGTTTTTCAGATATATTACATACTCAAAGAAATTATCAAACTCCGGGGTATTGTTGTTCTGTAAGCCTTTTTATTAAGGAAAATTTTGCTATTAATAGAAGTCACGTGATGCCGTGGCGGTGATGCACGTCTTTGCGTTAGACACGCTTTTATCGGTATGCAATAGTGAGAACAGTTTACGTTTATCAGTGGTTTTGGTAATTTATTAAACTAAGTTTTCTTCAAAAAGTCTAAATTTCCCGAGAAATTACTTATATGCTTCCTTAACATACCTGCGTAGGATTAGGCTGGTTTTATTATTAATGTGGATTGAGACTTACATGTTTAATGTGTCATTTAACACACAATTAGAGACCCGTAGCATATACAGTGTAGGAAGTGAGAGTGATGGGACTCATTATGCATCCCAGTCTTCATATCGGAAATCCAAATCTGATCAGAATTCATACGGACCGCTTTCCATACGGTCAGCCACCCACCCCTGATTATGCTCCCCAGGACAATGTACTTGATTCAAGTGGCACCCCACAGCAAAATCATGTATCCTACAAAACAGCAGTAATAACTCCTACGGTCGTAGGCTCACAGGAAGTGTATTGTGATCCTAGGACTAGGATGATGGCTCAGAAGGAGGCTAAGAGTGGAAATGCCTTCTCCAAGAAACACGCTTCAGATCGCATGTCCTTCAGAGACAAAAAGAAATTTTTCGCTCAAGAAGCTGGTGAGAATACCTCCAAGGAGAAACCCAAAGTATCAAAAACACTTAGGAATTTTGAATCTCAACTACATAACAAAAAATGAAAGTGAAAGTAAATAGAATTTTACAAATTATATCATGTTTTTATCAGAGAAAAGTTGTTGAGTACGGGTGTACTTCGGGGAGACCATGATTTTAATTATTGATTGGGATTCCATAGAGTGAAGAAAATCAGGATTTCATCGTCAGCAGACTGTTGAAGTGCAGTGTTAAGTCATATCATACCGGTATCATGTAACTGTTATTCTTTATGTTTTGACAAATTAGGAAGTATATTTTTGCTAAAATATTTTTTATGTGATACTTCGATATTACTACGAATATTGATGTGCAGAAATTTAATAATTTTATAATGTGTACATTTAATATTTTCCGAAGGTAACTTCAATTACATGTATATCTACACAGATTGCAAAAATGAAAGTAGCTAGATTTTAAAGGTACGAGAATTTGTAAATTAGCCAATGCATAAGAAAGACTTTTTTTTAATTCAAAAATGATTTTTTTTTCAATAATTTTTTTTTTGGGGGGGGGGGGTGAGGTGGTAAAAATAATAAGAGGGCATTTAAGCATGTTTAGAAAGTAAAAATTTTCTTAATCCTTAATTTTCATCATCACTTTAAGTCCATTTTGGAGGTATAGTTTTCACTTAAAATTTTTTAGTCATCTAATCATCGAGGTAAAAAACTTCTTAAAGTGCTTATAAAGCTGAAAACATTGAACAGTAGTCATTGAACAAAGCATCTATTGTTGGTGCATGTGTGATCAAGAAATTCAGTGTAAATAGAGACTTGTTGTTGATATTAATGTAAATTTTGTACAGAAATCAGGTTTTATATGATTATTTATTCCATTAAAAAAATAGTTTAGCAGTTAAACAAGTTTATGATGGAGAAAACATGATACTAGCATGCACACTCATTTTTCATATATATATATATATATATATATATATATATATATATATATATATATATATATATATATATATATATATATATATATATATATATATATATATATATATATATATATATATATACAGTATATATTTGTCCAAACCGGCTACCGTCCGTTCCATAGAATTTGGCCGGTTTAGACAGAATCCGGAGTGCAGGAAAAATGCAGGAAAACATTAATTTTGAAAATTTCGTTGTTTATTTACAAGTTCATTATTATACATAATATAAAATATAATTAAATGATGAAATCAATCAATATTTTGGAGTCTAGAAATTATAAAATAGTCTCTTATGACTTACTGTATTTTCTTGTTTTTCACGAAGTTTGAAAGTCGGGTGAAATGTAACCTAAATCAAAATCTACAGGCACGCATAATATAGGCCTACTATATATCAAGCGAATCATGTTTCGCTTGTCAAAGAGCTCATTCAATGTAAAAAGAGTAATGCACAATTATTTACGATGTGCTAATTATTAGATTGAATTTTTAATTTTTATGCAAAAAATTACGTCTTCCCCCAAAGTATTATGGCGCCATTTTGAAATG